ACAGAGCATGCTACTTGACCATACCTGTGCCTGGTCCATTAAGAAATGGAGCTCACTTTCCATGCAATGCCCAAAGCAGTTTTGGGTGGCCACTGCAATAGTGTCCTATGTGATGACAGGCTCTGCCATAGCTCAGGTGTAAGACGTAATACGCTACTCACTGATCTGCCCTTTATATTGGAATCCAAGAGATCGATGGCTGATACCTTTGCTGACTCTAGGAAGCAGGCTTAGTATAGCAGAAATTGTTCATTTGTGTGTATGTATGTGTGTGTGTGTGTGAGAGAGAGAGAGAGAGAGAGAGAGAGAGAGAGAGAGAGAGAGAGAGCAGGGCCGGATTTAGGATTGATGAGGCCCTAAGCTACTGAAGGCAATGGGGCCCTTTATATGTCCAGCTGTCCTTTGTCAACAACAAATTGTCACTTTTTTTGTGTTGAATACAGTGGTGCCCCGCAAGACGAATGCCTCGCAAGACGAAAAACTCGCTAGACGAAAGGGTTTTCCATTTTTTGAGTCGTTCCGCAAGACGAATTTCCCTATGGGCTTGCTTCGCAAGACGAAACGTCTTGCGAGTTCTTGCGAGTTTGTTTCCTTTTTCTTAAAGCCGCTAAGCCGTTAATAGCCGCTAAGCCGCTAATAGCCGCTAAGCCGCTAATAGCCGTGCTTCGCAAGACGAAAAAACCGCAAGACGAAGAGACTCGCGGAACGGATTAATTTCGTCTTGCAAGGCACCACTGTATATGCTATGCGGTAATTTATGGACCTAATAGGTATCTAAAGCCATTTGCAAGTAACAAAATATGTATTTTATTGAAGTAATTGTTGAACTTATCTTATATTTTGGAAATGTACATCCAATTTTTTTTCCTTTCAATATTTTGAGGGCCCCCAAGAGAGTGGGGCCCTAAGCTATAGCTTGTTTAGCTTATACGTAAATCTGGCACTCTGTGTGTGAGAGAGGGAGAAAGAGAAAGAGAAAGAGAAAGACGCTAAGAATTTTGTGATAAATAGAGAGGCACATTATTCTCTGGCTGCAAGAAAGATTAGAAAGCGGCAAGAATGTTGCTTGCCCCAAAATGGAAAGAAGCAGAAGCCCTGGCAAAGGAAGAATGGATACAAAAACTTATGGAATACGCAGGAATGGCAAAACCTACTGGAAGAATAAGAAATCAAGATAAACTTTTTATAAAAGAATGGAAATGGTTTATTGAATATTTACAGATAAATTGCCAACAGATGAGGACATTGGCAGGATTATTGTAATAACCTGCAGTTTCATAAGAATATATATATATTTAAAGTAGATGAATAAATGAGCAAATTAAGTTCATTTGGATATGCCAAAGACATTAAAAATAAATTTAAGGAACTGCAGAAAGAGGGGGGAGGATGTCAAGTTTTGAAATGTTAAAATGATTGTAAAATCAGTGAAATGTATAAACCTGAAAAGCGCGCGTGTGTGTATGAAAGATCAGAAAGCGAGAGCTAGATGGTATTGCAATAAGTTGTGCAGGAGATTCGGAGCTTCAACGTGGGTTAAGCTAGGTATGAGCTAGCAGGTAATATTTATGAATTCTGACTCTTTCTTCACATCGTTGGTGCCTTGTTTTATGTAATTACTGTATGATCTGCAGCCTGGCAGTGGCTGGAATGGTTACGGCCTTTGGTGGATGCAATAAACTCTTTGGTTTGGTAGTAGCTACTGAAAGCCCTCTCCTCCTCTTATTAATTTGTCCGGTCCTCTTTTAAAACCGCCCAAGTTGGTGTCCATAATTGCCTCCTTGAGGAGTGAGCCTTAGATCACGTTTGTAATGGATGAGTCAAGGAGGAGGCGTATCAACAGCAATCACCGGTGGCAGCTAAGTGCAAGCAACATGTTCAGAGGTGTGTGCTACTGAATACCAGACAATGAACATGACAAAACAGGGGGGGAACTGCTACTGTAAGCTTCCTGAAGACATCTGTCCTAAACTATTCCTGAAAACTATTCCTGAATTGATGCTTTTGAATTATGGTGCTGGAGGAGACTCTTGAGAGTCCCATGGACTGCAAGAAGATGAAACCTATCCATTCTTAAGGAAATCAGTCCTGAGTGCTCACTGGAAGGACAGATCCTGAAGCTGAGGCTCCACTACTTTGGCCACCTCATGAGAAGAGAAGACTCCCAGGGATGCTACACTTCAGGTTTTGGGGAACTTTGGCCCTCCAGGTTTTGCTGAACTACAACTCCCACAACCCCTGGCTGTTGGTTATGCTTGCTGGGACTGATGGGAACTGTAGTTCAGCCACATCGGGAAGGTCAAAGGGTGCCTCACACCTTCCATAGTTGCATCTTCCACTGCAGAACCTGTGATGAGCAGGTGGGGTTAGAGTGGTTGACCTCCGAGGTCCCTTCCAGTTCCAGCACTTGAAAGGTAAGTAAAGGACCCCTGGACGGTTAAGTCCAGTCAAAGGCGACTATGGGGTTGCAGTGCTCGCTTTTAGGCCGAGGGAGCTGGCGTTTCTGCATAGACAGCTTTCCGGGTCATGTGGCCAGCATGACTAAACTGCTTCTAGCGCAACGGGACACCGTGATGGAAACCAGAGCAAACGGAAACACCGTTTACCTTCCTGCTACCTATTTATCTACTTGCACTGGTGTGCTTTCAAACTGCTAGGTTGGCAGGAGCAGGGACTGAGCAACGGGAGCTCACCCTGTCACGGGGATTCAAACCGCCAACCTTCTGATCAGCAACCCCAAGAGGCTCAGTGGTTTAGACCACAGCACCACCCGCGTCCCTTCCATGACTCCAGGCAACATTCTGCAATCAGGTCATCTTTTCGAAGTGGCCAATACAGTGAGATAAACTTGTCCTGTAATACGTGTCCAGGTGTCTGGCACATTGGTTCAGAGATCTGGGTTCCTGCTGTCTACTCACAACGCATATAAGCATCTCTTGGGGAAATCACAGGTTTGGCACAGGCAGCTCCTACTTCACATGAGATAACCACATATTCCCCGCACTTGCCAATGCTAGCAGCTCTTAATTTGAGCCACACCTGAGCCACACCTGAGCCAAGCCCCATCGTTTGTTGCCAGATCTGGGTCTTACTCCTCACACTGCAAAGTAATCCAGACCAGGAGGTGGTCCAGAATTAGCAGGAAAGACTTTTTGGTCTCTGGACAGGGCTAGGATGCCTGGACATGTTTTGATTCAGTTAAGTACTGATTGGGTTCTAGGGTGCTCAGGTAAAAGCATCGGAAATTGCCTGATGATCCTGTCCCTCAGATATTTTGCAAAGCAATCAGTGGGTTGAACATAATGATTAAAGATCTTACAGATTTCCACTCAAAGATGATTTTGGGTCCTGGTAAACAACACTTTTGGAGGGACGCGGGTGGCGCTGTGGGTAAAAGCCTCAGCGCCTAGGGCTTGCCGATCGAAAGGTCGGCGGTTCGAATCCCCACGGCGGGGTGTGCTCCCGTTGCTCGGTCCCAGCGCCTGCCAACCTAGCAGTTCGAAAGCACCCCCGGGTGCAAGTAGATAAATAGGGACCGCTTACTAGCAGGAAGGTAAACAGCGTTTTCGTGTGCGGCTCTGGCTCGCCAGAGCAGCGATGTCACGCTGGCCACATGACCCGGAAGTGTCTCCGGACAGCGCTGGCCCCCGGCCTCTAGAGTGAGATGGGCGCACAACCCTAGAGTCGGACACGACTGGCCCGTACGGGCAGGGGTACCTTTACCTTTACCTTTTACTAAACAACACTTTCCCCTCTGAAACCCAAACCCTGCCCAATTTCTTGCCCAGTTTCACCACTAGATCAAGATACATCTCCAAATGCTGACATTGAGAAGTGGCTATTGCTGGTCCTGGAAGAATTCTGTCAAATCCAAAAACCTATTTCCCTGCCATTCAAGCACAACCACACAATCAAATACAGTCACATTCAGGCGACTGTATCAACAGCCTGCGTCAAAATTTTCACATTTGACTGTGATGATGAACACTCGCATGATATATACTCTTATATAAAGTGCTTGGGGCCAATTGTCGCTGGTTGACCGACTTCTAGGAGCTGAAATCTGGGTTATGCGATTTCCAGGCAGATCTGGAGCACCGAACGGTCAAAACTCGGGAGCAGAGAGGGCTCTACTCTTGCCCAGAGCAAGCAGAGCCGCATGCATATTGAACCGCATCGTTCCCCATCTGCACGCTTGATTTGCTTCGGATCGGGGAAGGCGTTTTATCCCCAGTAGCAACCCGGAATTCGCATCTACTTGCAGACGCCAAGACATTTGCCCAACTTGACCACTAGATCAAGATACACCTGGCGAAAGGGAGTGTGCAAAACACACTCGAATATTCCCAGGTGACTACAGCCGACCTTAGATACTTCCTAAAATAGATATAATGCACACACCCCGAGAAAGAAAGGATTCCACGTGACAACACACCCAGCGGCTCGTCTTACTTCTTAATTATTTTACTGCGCCGTTTGAAAGCACCCAGCTTCCGCTTCTCCCCACGGGGAAAAACTGAAATAAGTCAATGAACTCTTAGCAAGCCAAACTTAACATGGGAACGCAATTTTGCATCTGTCCTCTTCTGGAACGAAACTCCTCATTTTCCAGGAAAACACTAAAGGAGGAAACAGTGGGGGGGGGGTACACACGCCTGAGACGTTCATTTCGCCTTGTTTTAAAACTTGTCTTCAGTACTGCTCTTAAAACTATTTTACCTGTTATTGTGGTTTGCCTACCTTGAGACACGCGTAACATGCAAGAGATAAACGAGCCAGTAATATTGATTATAATATCTATCATCTATCTATCTATCTATCTATCTATCTATCTATCTATCTATCTATCTATCTATCTATCTATCTATCATCTATCCATCTTGCATTCTGCCACTGAGCATTCCCATTCCCACCTTCACCCCAAAAGCCCAGAATTCATCCTCCAAGAAAAGCGAAGGCACACAGAGAGAGAAAGAGTTCGCAGTTCGCTTTGCACTTACTCGTGGTGTTGTACTTGACTCCGTTGAGGAACTCGGGGCAAGGTCTCTCCACCAGCTCCCCGGCGCTGGTCTTGGGCCAGCAGGTCCCGATCTGATCGGTGGTGGCGTTGCAGTAGGGACCTTCAAGTAAAAAGAGAGAAAAGGGAGTGACTGAAACCATCCGCGCTCCGTGCGCCCGGGCGCGCCGCGCCGGGACCCTCACACCGAGAACCCCTCCAGAGACTCTCCCAGCCCTCTTCGCGCTCCCCTACCATCAAATCCATCCTGCAACAAATCGAGGAGACTGCAGTTCGCATCCAGCTCCTCGATGAAGTACTGGAGGACGATCGTCTCGTTCATGGTGGTCCCGTTCTGGAAGAGGAGGAGGAGGAGGAACAAGCTGGGCTGGTGTTCCAGGTTCCTTTCTCCCGTGGTTTTCTTTTGCCTCTTCCCCCTTTGCCAGTGAAGCAAAGCCTACTGGCTACATTCTCTCTCCCTTCCTCCCTGCTTCTGTCTTTTGGAGGGTGGGTGGACCCGACACAGAGATATCTTCCCAAGCGCTCCTGCTTTAAACAGCAGCTCAGGAGCCAATAAAATCACAGCCGGTTTCTCAGTGAGGGTCTTTCTGCTCTCTCCTGCGCCTCCCTCCTGCTGACATTTGGCTGCTGTCTAATCCTGCTCTGTCCTGGCTATTGAGAGTAAGAGGAGAGGGGAGTCTCTCTCTCTCTCTCTCTCTCTCTCTCTCTCTCTCTCTCTCTCTCTCTCTCCGCCCTTCGCCTCTCTGTGTTGGCTTGATTATCCCTTAAGCGACAAACATTTCCTGCGAAATCAGTGAGAAGCGGTTTCAAGGCGTAGCGCAAGACGGGACCAACCTCCCCTCGTGTCTCTGAAACCGAACCGACTCTTCTCTGCGGGGGGGTGGGGGTGGAGGGGGTCCAGGAGCAGCGGTTCCTCCCGCCCCCCCCCGTCAAACTGCTGCAGATCAGGAACCTTGGTGGGCAGCATCTCTCAGTGGCAAAGGATAAAGCACTCTGCACATGCCCCGGGACGCTCTTCTCCCCAGGCAGATTGCAAGCACGGGGAGGGAGAAACAGCCCGGCAGCTTATGGCAGAATTCGAGCTGATCTGAGGGAAATCCGTTTTTAGGGTTTGCTGGGTGTTGCAAGGCTCAGGAGATCTCTTCTCCCGAAGCTGTAGAAGGGAAAGGCAACAGCCGGAGGGGAAGCGATGTAGCTTAGTGGGGGTGGGGCATTTGCTTCGAATGCAGAAGCCATCGGGTTCAATGCCGATGCGGCAGTGTGGTCTAGTGGTTAGGGCATCAGACTAGGGTCTGGGAGACCAGGGTCAAATCCTCACTTGGCCACGAAGCTGGCTGCCTCTCAGCCTGTTGTGGGGATTAAATGAGTTGGGGCAGAACCACGCATGCTAGCCTGAGCTCCTTAGACAAAAAGTCAGGATATAAATGCAATCATAATAATTAATTATACCTTATGGAACAACCTGAACAGAGCAATTTGTGCATCTGTATTGTTTCTGCATTATTTACGCATTTTTGGTGCGCATAATTCCCAGCCTTTAAAAATAAACAAATCTTGATGCTAAATAAACAACTGGGACGGAAGAGGGTTCTGGGTGCAAGAAGCAATTCCACATGGGAAGAAGCTCAATTGCCCTGGGACCTACCTCTCAGGGCTGTTGTGCGGATTAATTGAGGAGGGGGAGTAACATGTGTGCCACTTTGAGATCCTAGGAGGCACAGGTGGGATATGAATGCAGTAAATAAATACAGTGGTACCTCGGGTTAAGAACTTAATTTGTTCCGGAGGTCTGTTCTTAACCTGGAACTGTTCTTAACCTGAAGCACCACTTTAGCTAATGGGCCTCCCACTGCTACCGTGCCACCGCCGTGCAATTTCTGTTCTCATCCTGAAACAAAGTTCTTAACCCGAGGTACTATTTCTGGGTTAGCAGAGTCTGTAACCTGAAGCGTCTGTAACCTGAAGCGGCTGTAACCAGAGGTACCACTGTACTAGGCAATCCTGAGCTAGAGAAATCAAGGGTCTGACTCTGTAGAAAGCAGCTTCCTGTATTCCAATGTTCTAAGGGGCTCATTGCCTTCCCCCAGCACTGAGTGTGCCGGCTTCCCTCTGGCAAACATCTGATCGTGCTGAAATCCAGGAGAGCTGTGATTAATGTAGGCCACACACCCACATTTCAGGGCCTCCACACTCTGTGTTTTCACTATAATTCAGGAAGGACATGGAAGACAGGGAGGGAGTGCTAAGCCTGAAGCATGTGTGTTGGGGGGGGGTCTTCTAACTCCAAGGGCCACACTGCTTTCTGGGCCACTTTTCAGGGGCCGCATGTGAGTTGGGCTCTGAAGCAAAGCAACCAATGTACAGTGGTGCCTTGCAAGACGAAATTAATTCGTTCCGCGAGTTTTGTCGTCTTGCAATTTTTTTCGTCTTGCGTAGCACGGTGTCGGGAAAGTTTTGGAAAAGCTTCAAAAATCACCAAAGTCTTTGAAAACCTCAAAAAAGGCTACCACACCGCGTTCTATGAGTTGCTCCTCGAAGTCAAGTCACAACTGTATTAACGGTGTTAAGAAAAAGGAAACAAACTTGCAAGACGTTTCCATCTTGCGAAGCAAGCCCATAGGGAAAATCGTCTTGCGAAGCAGCTAAAAAAACAAAAAACCCTTTCGTCTAGCGAGTTTTTTGTCTTGCGAGGCATTCGTCTTGCAAGGTACCACTGTAAATGTTACTTTTGTACAATAGGCTCATATCTATATGCTGGTCTCTCCATCCAGGCAAACAGAAAAGCATGGTCAGAGCTGCAAGTATGCCCATTTCATTTGCACAAAAGCATTCTGTGAGGGTGCAAAGCAGGGCAAGGGAGGGGCGTGGCCTGCAGAGAAGGGGTGTGGGTTGAGAGAGGGCGCATGGCCTCTCATCTTCCCACCCTTCCTGGGGACAGGAGGGAGCCGGAAGTAAACCACAGCAAGAAAGCTGGAGTTAACTCCTCATTAGCAAAACAGGATCCGCACAGGAGTGTCAGGTCTAATGAGCACAGCAACTCAGGTCTTGCCCCAATGAAGCAGTTGCTGGGACTAAAGATTCCTGCCTCCCCACAGCCAGATATCTCTCCTCCTATCCAGGGTTTTCCCCCAAGCAATCAGAGACTCTGCGTATCTGTCTTTGCTCCTCGTGCTTCATGCCTCTCCTGGTCCTGGGAAACCATGGGGAGGGGAGCTTGTTGCAGAAGGAGGAGGAGACCCCCTTGCTTCTTCACCAGCCTGACTCATCTCTGCCTCTTGGCCTCCCTCCTCCCCTGCTTCAGCTTCTGCCTCTGATTCTGGACTGCTCTCTGCCACAGCCTCTCCCTGCTCACTAAACCCTGTGAACTCTTCAGGTTCTGACACCTCCTCTTTCCAGTCTCTTCCTCTGACCCCTCATCATCATCATCCCACCACCACTTCCTTGGCTCTGAGCCTTCTTCCCTTGAGGGTTTCCCAGCTGGTTCCTGTGGGAATGTTCAGGGATGCAGGAGAGGATATATTGTTTGATTATGTGTTTATGTGATTGTGTGTTAATTTGTGTTAACTTGTGTTAACAAGTTCACAATTTAGCAGAGTAACATTCCCCCTTTTAAACTCACAGCGGATGCATTTGCTCAGGCTCGCTAAAGGCTCTATAATAACTGTTCTGGTATTTCCCCCTTATTCCCTCCTTAAAGATAAGACAAGACACAGTCTTCTATAAAAGTATAAAAAGAGTTTACTCACTCACATTCTGTTCACAATTGGATCCCAGAAGGCAGACTTATCTTAGAAAAGTAACATACACCGGGAAACTATCTCATAAGGAGACAGTCCCTTTGTCATCTCTTGGCTGGAGGCCAAGAGAGCATCTTTGGCTAAGCAGATGTTGCTTCTTCGATGCATGTAGTCACAGAGAGAGAGATGGCTGCCCTGCCCTGTGCTTTTGCCGTTACCTGCACAGGTGTGGCCACGCCCACCTCTAGTCACATGCAGAGGAAGTCTGTCCCAGCCCAGAAGGAAACAGGAAGTTTACCTGCTGGCTGGACAAACATTCCTCCCCCTGTGTAAACATGTTCACTCTAGGAATGTTGTACTTGACTGCTCTTGTGTTTCACATCCCACAGTTCCTCCCACCATTCCTCTACATCCAACCAGCCCATGACAGGCAGTGGCAGAGGAAGCCGCTCTGGTGCCCTGGGCGGCGTGCCCAGGGGCGGGGCACACCGCAGGGCCTCCAAAGTCTGCCTGCCTCCTCCCACTCAGCAGCCCTACAGCTGGGGGGGGGGAGTGAGCGGACTGTTTGGGTAGCATGGAGCCTGCGCGTGCCCAAGCCAGGAGAGACGTGTGGCTTGGGCACGCTGCAGGCCCTGAAGTCAGTGCCACCCGGCATTTTGTCACCCCCTCAGTGGTGACACCCAGAGTGGCCCACACTCACCGCACCCCCTTCCTCCGCCCATGATGACAGGTGGAAAAGACTTGAGAAGCACCTTGAATGCAGCATTGCTGCTCGTTTCCCTGTCCTAGGGTGGAGTGGAGAAGACAAGCAGCAACATTTTGAGGAGTGTCCTGGCTCTTCTGGAGTTCAGTGAGGGCGGGGGGCATTCTGGCAATGGTGAAAGTTGGGGGAGAGCAGGGAGCAGCACATTCCTGCTTCACCTCAGATGGTGAAATGGCACGGGCCTCCCCCTATCTCTGAAGCAAGGAATTCGAAGATATTGACAGCACTGTTCCCTGTGTGGCAATGCCCTGCACTGCTAGAGTCTGATCACGGGCCTCACTTCCCCTTGTTATCAACAGAGAAGGCGCACACAAGGGCTGCTTGGTTAGGGTTACCAGACGTCCTCGGTTCCCGGGGACAGTCCCCAGATCTGCAAATCTGTCCCCAGACAAATTCCGTCCCCGGAATGTCGCCAGATTTGCACATCTGTCCCCCAGGAAACGTGGCAGTGGCAGCCTCAGCAGCCTGGAGCCAGCCTGGTAGCACAGTTGGCTTTGGCTGGCTCTGGGCTGCTGACTGCCGCTGCCACTGCCAAAGGAGAACCGGGGATGTCGAGCGGTACAGATCTCCTTCCCCCTTCTACCTTTGTTTTGACTGATGGGGGAGGCTCGGGAGTTGCAGGTGGGCGGCCGTTGCCCAGGAGGGGCGCAAGGCATGTGGTTTCTCTGCCAGGCAAAGTGCAGAGCCCTTCTTTCGCACCCTGTGAAACATAAATGCGCAGATTTTTTTAAAAGCTGGGAGATGGCGCACCACCTGCCCATGACTCCTGAGCCTCCCCCAATCTCCTGTTTCCTTCCCCCTTTGTTTTGACAGATCGGGGGAGGCTCAGGGTCCATGGGCAGGCACCATTGCCCAGGTTTTTTAAAAAACCTCTGTGCATGATGTCAGCATCGCCCTTGAGCCAGTGTCACCGACTGGACTCATCCACTTCAGCCCCGACTGGGCTAGGCGAGCTGAGTAGCACTTCCAGAGACCACCTTCTGCACAGGAACAGGTCAAAGTGCTGTGGACTCACAGCTTAGAGTTGTGAGCACCGGATTCACTCCAACAAGAAGACAGTCGTCGCACAGCAGAGTACAGCAGAGTCTAGCAGAGTATATAAACAACTCGGAGAGCAGCTCTGTAGAATATCTTCTTTATTCTATAGCTACAACTATAATACACAACTATATACAGAGCTAAATAGGTCTAAGCATAAATGAATGCTGAAGCGCACTGAGTGTCTGCAG